TCTCTCTCTCTCTCTCTCTCTCTCTCTCTCTCTCTCTCTCTCTCACTCTCTTGCAGAATCATTGAAGTCCAGTGGCAAGATAAAAGTCAAGGTGACCAGTGATAGCCTAGGATATATTGGATGACCTTGGCATCTTTGATGTCTGACCAAGCTCTAAGTGTTTCACAGCAGCTATGTCAGCTGCCTTTATAGTCATTGGAACAAATTATTCTTATCCAACCATTCCTCCAGAAGAAGGATTCATGTGCTTGGGGTAAACATCCTACTAACTTGCTGATGGGTTTGAGGCCTGTCTGTACTTTCAACTTGGCTTAGCCCATCTGCCATGACAGTTTTACCTGTGTGTGGCCACTGTGCATGTTACATGTTTCTTGGAGCCACAGATAACAGTTGGGTGGCAGGTGAACACCAAAGATGGATGAGCAGCCCTGAAAATTGCTTGGCAAGCCCTCATATCAGAGGTCTAGTCTACCTTGAACACCCCATATATCCCATTGATTAATCGATAAATGTATAGGGTAAAGAAAGTTCCGAATCATTAACCTAATTCATACATTGATCATTTTTTATGTAAGAAAAAATGCCCACTGGGTTTACAACTTAGAAATAGAATTAATAAAAGAATGAATGAATGATAGATTGCATGCCACTTTCATAGTCTTTTAAAAGTGAGGGCAACACTGTTATGACGTGAACTGCTCAAGTTTACAATGATTTTAGTTACAATGAGGTATTTCAAGAAAGGAATGGCCTAAGAGAGTGGTGACCCAGTTGAGGTATGAAAAGTAATGTCATGACTGGAACTATTATAGCCTCCAACTTCCACCTTCACTATTGCTGCCAAAAAGGTTCAACACTCAGGAACTCTAATGAGCTCTGATCCTAGAACGGCCAGTGACTCAGGCACAATTCGTGGAACATTTACCTCTCACTGTATACAACTTTCAACTTGATACAAAAATTAGTTTCCTCACTGGGACAACTAATATCATGTAACTAAATATTTCAGAAATAAATAAAATAGCTATTACAACACTGGAATGCAGCAAGCACTGCTAAAGTTTAATAACACACTTGGGAAAATTGCTTTTCCATCTTCTTCTACAGGTAGCTCACAGACAATGTCTCCATCTCCTTGGATTCTAGATAGCCACTTGTTTGCCACAAAGTTTAGGGTCTTCCTGCTCTTTACATGCTGCATTGTCACCTGATATTAAAGAGAAAACAAAGAAACAAAAAAAGTTTGGTATGTTTCTTAAGATTTTTTCTAGAACTAAGCACTAGCTTTATACAGCTGTGCATTCCTCAGTAAGTGCTAGTGTGATGCTGCACTATAATGATCTCACATAGCTTTCAGTTAGCAAGGGATAATTCCCATAGACAGCAAGGAAACCAAGAAGGGAATCTCTCAAGGACATAAAAAGGACACTTGATCTTTGTACATGTATATGAACATGAATTATTCTGAAATCAAACACCTGCATTCCTCCCCCCCCCCCCAAAAAAAAAACATTTCCACATTATCACAACAAAACCAAGAAGATGCTCTTTGGAACTGTGAATCTCATTTCATACCAATTGGGTTTTTAAAGTATATAATAAATTCAAAATATCACTTTCAAAACTGTCCTGCTTATCAATTCTTCCTTCTGAACTTCCTTCTATTTTCTTCTGTACATTGTAAAAAGTGTTTCAAGGGCCCTCTTTTTTAGGCATAACTCCTGTTAACCTCAACCCTTATTAACTGAGAATAATAGTTTTTAAAAAATACTTGTAAACAGATAAATATAGTCAAGTAAAATGTATCCACACAGTGGCCATGTCCAAAAAAAATCTCTCTTTCTGTACCACATACCAATCACCTCTCTGTCAGAAGATGGATGATACTCTTCAACATAGATCCAAAGAAAAATGGTTAATCATCGTACTGTGTGTCAAAGTTGTTTTACTTCTTATTGTTGTTATCTTTGTCTAAACTGTCCTCTTGGTTCTGCTCACTTCACTCTACATCAGTTCATATAACCCAGGGTTTTCTGGAATTAGGTTTTGTCATTTCTTATGACTCAATATTGCATTACATTCACATACCACAACTTCATCTGCCAATTGTCTAACAGACAACCTGAGATAGCACCTTGGATTCTAGATTGTTGTTTTTTTCTTTTCTTTTTCATTTTTCCTCTTTAGGATCAGGTACTTTGTTTTGCAATTTGATGCATTTCTACACAAAACTCTGTGTGTGTGTGTGTGTGTGTGTGTGTGTGTGTGTGTGTGTGTGTAAAATCTCTCCAGGATGTACTTTTGATTCTTTTTGACCATCTTGACCATACCCCTTCTCGAGGAACCTTCATCTCTTCCCACCTAATTTTCAGCCTCTTTTTTATGTGTTCTCTTCCACCATTAGAATGTAAGCTTTTTGAGAGCAGGAACTGTCTTTCTGTTTATACTTGCATTCCCAGTGTTCTTGTGACAAGTGCTTAACAAATGCTTGTCGACTTGACTTGCCTTCAATCCTACTTCCATTTGATATAAGAGGAAGGTTCCAGGGGTATGTTGAAGCCAGCTCTGAATGGCTTGAGAGAACTGATTGTTCAGTTTTCAAGGTGAGCATTTTACCTAGAAATCAGTAAATCCTACGAAGTATGGCTTGACTTATGTTTTGTTAATAGTCTAGAATTAAGAAAGGGGTGGTTAACATTATAGATTAAACTTTAAAATGTGTTTTGAATACATCTTTAATGGAAATCCACTTACTAACATACCTCTGCAAATGTAATTGTCATTTCCTGAATCCTTACTTTCATGCTTGTGTAGTCTTCTCACAGACTCCACTGATGAGAAATAGCAAGTATCACCCCTTCTTCTTCTTTCTACACAAGTATATTCCTCTTTTTACCCTTTCCTTTCCTTTCTTCAAGCCCTCAGAAGAGAATTAATCCACCCCCCAGACTTCCATATTTGGGTTTTTTCCTGTTTAATTCCCTCAATATCCTTTGAAAATAATAAGGTTCTTAAGAGACTTCAGTTTCCTCTCCCCTATTAGAATATTAGAACTACTTCGCCAAACACTTCTTTCCAATTGCACAAAGAAATTTATTTTTCATTTATATATTTTATTTTTCTAGTTTTCTTTGGAGTCCTGCATTTGTATTTCAAAGTTCCTACTCAGTTCTGGTCATCTCTAAAGATGCTTGAAAGTCCTCTAAAAGGTCTATTTTTTTTTTCTGTTTTCAGATTACATTCAACTTTGGTTGCAGGCTGTTATTCTTGGTAGTAAGCTGATCTCTTTTGCCTTTTGGTATATCATATTTCAAGATCTCCTCTCATTTATGCTATGAGCTGCTGGGTCTGTGATACTTCTGACTGTGGCCCCCTTGTTACATGAACTGCTTCTTTCTGGATTCTTGAAGTGTTTCTTTTTCTGTGACATAGAGCTATGGATTTTGGCTAACATTCCTGGGACTTTTCCTTTTGGGGCTTCTTTCAGGTGATTGGTGAATTTTTTCCATCTCCACTTTGACCTCTGATTCAAATAGATCTGGCCAGCTTTCATTTAGGATTTCTTGAAATACAGTCCTTGGGCTTTTATTTTTTAACTGCGGTTTTCATAAAATTCAGTAATTCTTAAAATATCTCTCCTTAGTCTGTTTTCCAGGTGTTGTTTTTTTATATCAGATATTTTACATTTTCTTCTTTATTTTTTCAATCTTTTGATATTTTTCTAATACTTCTTGCTGTCTTATTAAGTTATGAGTTTATTCTAGAGGAGCTTTAAATTTGGTATAATTTTAGATGCTATTGATAGATATTTCCTTTGATTTACTCATCTCTACAACTTTGCACCATGACCAGGCTCTACCTGCTGCTATTGTTGGGGTGATCTCACCCTGAGACTCTTGGTTCCTCATCTCCTGGGGTTTGCTCCCCCACCTGGATCTTTGGGATTCAAAGAAACAGCTCTTTGGAGCCCTCTCAGGTTTCTCAGGACAGGATCAGGGTCCTCAGAACCCCTGGGCCTGGAGTGTACCAATGCTACACTGTGCTGCCATGACTCACTGAGGCTATCAGGGCTTCCAATGTCCTCATCTTGGGGTTGTCTTACCATTGTGGGGCATTGTTGAGTAGGCCCTTCACTCTTGCTGACTTTGGGCACAGAGTTTTGTAAGCTACATGTGTCCCTGAAAATCTCTGGTCACCAAGGAGGCTAACCTGTGCTAACAAGCAAGCTTCATTTTCTACTGCCCTCAGGCTCCTTCTGGCTGACTTATTACACAGCTCTGATGTGGAAGAAATCATTAAGTCTAGTTTCTCATCAGATTTTTTGGATTCTTCAGTCTAGTACAAATGTCAGGGTTTTGTTAGTATTGATACGCTTCCTGTTCAGGCAGACATCATCATCATCATCATCGTTAACATTTATATAGTACTGACTGTGTGCCAGGCAATACACCTTAGCATGCTTTACAATTATTATTATTATATTGCAGTACAATTATATTATATTACAATTATATTAAAATACAATAAAATATATTACAATTATTGACACGTTTTATTCTCATGACCCTGAGAAGTAGGTACTGTTATTATCCTCATTTTACAGATTTTACAGAGGAAATTGAGGCAAACAAGGGTTAAATCATTTGCCCATAGCCACACAGCCAGATTAAGCTCAGCTCTCTATCCACTGCACCCCTTAGCTGTATTTTAGCCAGAAATACCTCCTAAAGGGTTTCACTTCACAGTGCTTTTTAGATATTGACATTCCCTAGGCTGGCACTCCACATAGTCCCCAAACTTTGTCATCTAATGTGTCATACAACTTTCTCCCAGAATGTACTAAGCTACTTAATTTCTTCTATTTTAGATACCCCATTAGATTATGAGTTCCTTGAGGGTTTACCTTTGCCTCTTTTTGCATCCCTTAGTATAGTATCTGGTGCAGAGTAAGTGTTTAATAAATGTTTACTGACTGACTGATACACAGGTAGTAAAATAGATGATATCATCCTATCTTCTCACTAGCCTGTGACAGGTCTTTACATGAACTGGGTAAATAATTATATGCAATGTGAAAAGAATGGCAATGGGGCATGATGGGTAGAGAGGCGTGAGAGCCAGAAAGACCTGAGTTTAGTCCCACTTCTGGTCCGTACTGTTTGTGTGACCCTAGGAAAGCTACCAAACCTCTCCAAGTTTTAAGGCAACTCTAAGACTATAAATTGAAGAAAAGAAGTTCCAACCCACTTTGACAGAGTAAGTTTATCACCAGTAGCCTCCTTATCAATGAAATAAATCATAGGTTTAGTCTCTATCCTTGTATGTATGTGTGTGTATATATATATACACACACATGTATGTATGTATGTACACATATATAAAATCATAGCTCTTTGATATACATTCTCCACTGAAGATTTAGTCCAGGGCCTCCTAATGGTCCTAAGGCAACCAGGGGTTCTCAAAGGTATATTGGAATACAACTTTTGGTAGGTCTTACTAAGCTCAGAAGGTTTTAAATATGACCTTGATGTTTGACTGCATATCTATTATCAGAGGACCAGTCTGAGTAGGCTCTGATTGGCTTACCAGAGAAGCAGCCACCAGATGAACCATTATTATGAACAAATCAACCCATGAAACCACTGACTGAGGGGAAGAGAAAGTTGTGACTCCTGTTGGTAGAGGAAGACCCAATGCAGGGAGAGGAAATTGTGTATCCTTGCAACAGTAGGCAGCATGAAGTATTGGCTCTAAAGAGTCAGAGGACTTAGGTCCAAATCCCAACTCAGCTATATATTACAAGCATGACCCTAAGGTCCCTTAATTTTCTTTGAGCCTCAGTATGATCTCCAGAAAATGAAGGAGTTAGGGCTAGATAATTTCTGAGGTCTTTTTTGACTCTTAAGTCTAGGATACTGTGATCCTATGTAAAAAGGTATGTTCCATTATGCAGAAATTCACCACAATGTCATTAGAAAAGTAAGGAACAAACGAGATGTATGAACTCAAGAGATTTGTTTTAATTGAATTCTCTAGGAACTTATGCAGCATTGGTGCAATCAGAGACAACTATCAAGAAAAAAAACTGAAAGAGTGAGAGTTCAGTGCAAAAGATTAGGGACAGCCTCTGTTAACCAAGGAAGGTGTACCCCATCATATCATCTCTTCTCACTTGTTAATATCATTAGGACAAAAGAGCATTGG